AGACAGTAACGGAGCACAGAGAACACCAGGCCCTGGACCAGCGTCACTAGCACCGACTGTGGGAGGCAGTGCCTACTGTGGCTCAGTCCGCATAGGGAGCCAGTGCACCGACGCACGACGTCATCTGTGTGAGTGGCAAAGCTCATATCGCTGTCAAACCACACACCTAGATTCTTGACAGAGTTGGTGGCGGTGATGGTTGATCCGCAGAAGTCAACGCTGACCGGGGGGAGACGACGGATCATCTCACGCGTGCCGAGCGCTATGAGCTGAGTTTTCGCTGCGTTGATTTTGAGACCGTTACAGCCGTACCAATTCGAAAGGATGGTCAGACTGTTTTCCATGGCCTGTGTAAGCTTTTTCACATCTTTTGAGGCGCCAGAAACGTATACCTGTACGTCATCTGCGTAGGCGATGATACCGGTAGACTCATCGGTGTAGAGTGGCAGGTCGTTCGCGTATATGTTGTGCAGGAGCGGCCCGAGGGCGGAACCCTGATAGGTGCCGATAGGGTTCAGAAGCGGCCGAGATAGAGCACCTGTGCGACGCGAGCCCGTAGACGGAACTTGAACACACTGATAGTGGTTGATTAGGTAGCTTTGGAACCACCGTGAATCTACGCCGTAAAGTTCTAGCTTACGCAGCAACGCCCCGTGCGGAATACAGTCAAAACAGCGCGAGCAGTCACATGTTTGAACGTTTGAAACCACGAAAAGCTTGCAAACGCGCGGCTAATGCGAGCCGACATACGCCGAATCGCGATTTCGGCCAAACATGGTCACGGAAGAGAGGTCACAGGTCAAATGTCATTGGGGTCAGGGTCATGAAAATTTCAGGGTAGTTGTAAAATTGATCAATGCGAGGGTACTGAAAGTTTCGTCGCGATCGGCCGCTTTTAACGCGAGTTATTCGCGAAAAACCTTAGGGAGAGTTGCATCAACCCCCCCCCCCTCCCTGTGCCGGCGGGGGTTAATCACTGTTTCCAAAAAATATAGTTTTTTATTTTTAGGGGTGAAAAACGCATTTTATGGGAAATACGAGACAGCCATTTTAAAGAACGCATTGAGCTGCGCCTATTTATGTCCCTAATTTGCAATTTGAACAAGGACAGAAAGGACAAGAAAAGCCGCTGTCAGCTGACAGTGCCCCGTAATGCGGCGATGCAAAGCACAGCGCGAGCACTGAATCAGATCAGGATGCTTACGTAACATACGGAAGCGATTTAACTGTACAGTGGCATTGTTCTTTGTCGCATGGAACGTCTGTTTTGCTGAATTTTTACCAGCGTCGTTTTTTAGCTGCTAATTCTGTTCTGCGCTGTACCCGAAATCGGCTGATGCTATCATTTATTGCAGGTCGCTGCCGTGCATTTTAAAAATAGTTTTCACTTCCGTTTGAAGCCGCCTAAAATTACACGCTCCCATTTTAAACTATAAAGTAACATTTTTTGTTCTAGCGTTGTTTTATCTTTTTATGTATCTTTTTTGATATTGTACTATTTGCCAAGTGAGCAATGCCACCTTATAATAGTGATTTCGCACATGTATGTACACAAAAGGCATCACAAAATTTTAAGATATTTCAAGAAAATGACTACCTACTGTAAGTACGTCGACATTGAACAAACAGTTCTTTATACTAACATCTCCCACCTAAATCCCGCTAACGAGTCGATGACTGTTAAAAACATTTTATTTTGCCAACTCTGTTCCATAACATTATCCCCAAAGCACTTATTTTAACTGTTCCTGACAGGCGTTAATTTATCATCTCATCGCGCTTGGATTCCACGGTTGTCCGGCCGGCCCGCCATATGTGGCCTCCATTGAACACTCCCGTACCGTTTCCCACTAAACTGCTGCTCCTCGGCGGCGACACGACGACACCCCGCGCTGGGAGACCGGGACAACATGCTAACGGGTTCCGGCCACGTCAGAGCCGGGACATCAGGTGCTTCTGTGGGAGCGCTGCTGTGGTCCGGCACGGCAACAAAGTCGTTGAGCTGTGGCGAACATAAATATATTACCAGGCAATTAGTCGATGAGATTGTCCTGCATTAATATTACCGTTAATCATTTATTTTCGTGATTATGTAGGCTGTCCGCGCTAACTTAAATGCAACAATTTTCCACCAAGTCGAGTCGTTGACTCGTACACTCTGAATCACCCCCATGAGCTCCGCGACATTGACCACACCGCATCCCACAACCTCGGGGCGCGACTATGTAGTCTCGGCGGCCACCCGTTCCATGGCGCCGCCCGCCCACCCGTGCCTCGGGTAGGCCGGCCGGCCGGCGCCTGGCGCCTGGCGCCGCGTGGCTGCCGCCGCCGGCCTCGGGCAAGGTAGCTGCGCCCTGGCGCCGGCTGGCCCCGGTACCTACCCCTGTTACCTCAGCGTGCTGCGATCGCTGCTGGGGCGCCCGACTGTCCTCTCCTGACAAGGTCATACAACGGTGGAGTGACGAGAAGATGAGCAGAGGTATTGTAATGAAGTGTTTAAATCTTTAGCCATCCGATCTTTATCTTTTGCTTGGGATGTATTGTACAGTTTTTAAGTTTTATTTCAATGCAGCTGTTTGACCTATCTGTATTTCGTTTCAGTGAATCTGTAATGTTTTTAGTATATGATGGCTCAGTTTAATACCTTGAATGATATTCGATAACAAAACACAAGGCGGCACATCTTTGCTTCCACACAAGGCATAGGTGCGACTTGTATGTATGTATGTATGTATGTATTTACGTCGTAGGGCACATCCACATAGTAACATGGCTATTCCGTACCCAGATGTCAGCATATTAAAAGACAGAATAACAGTCATCCAGCACTCACGCTCACACGACATACAAAACATAGCTGCCTCATCGCAGTCGTCAGATCACACTTGGTTGTCAATGTTATATTAAAGAAAACAGAAAAGAGAAGTAACCTAGGTAATTCCAATCGGAGGCCTCGCTCCGGGGGGCGGGGCACAGCGCGGCGGGCCGATCAGCAGCGGAACGGTCGGTCATCTGTACTGAACCGGTCACACCAGAACCATTGCAGTGTACGGTCGACCTGACACGGCGCGCTGGCAAGACGCCACAAACCAGACTGTCTCGCTCAGCCGCGTGTTTCCCATAGACAGCGTCACAGAGACTCTATTCGGTAGGCAGGTCTGCAGCAAAAGATAGAGTGAGAAAGACAGAGAAGAGACGAAAAGGATAGAGGATAGAGAAAGAGAAAGTGAGAAAGATAGGGAAGAGAGAGAGAGAGAGAGAGAGAGAGAGAGAGAGAGAGAGAGAGAGAGAGAGAGAGAGAGAGAGAGAGAGAGAGAGAGAGAGAGAGAGAGAGAGAGAGAGAGAAAGAGAGAGAGAGAGGAGAGAGAGAAAAAAAGAGGAGAAATGAGCAAGTGAGTTGAAATAGAGTCTAAGCAGGGACGCACTTCTCACAAAACTCGCAGAAAAGATCACCTACTAATCGAAGATAAAAAATTATCATCAGCGAGTGTTCACTGTTCACGAGCCCGTGCAAATCGGTTTGATCTGTAGCATATGGATTAATGTTCGTTATGATCTTGTAATAGCATTTCCTGCTAAGTAGATTTCACAAACTTTTTGATAATATTGTGATCAATCAGCCCAAACACGTTAATTCTCAGAACTTAACCCGCGCACCGACGGGGGTCTGCGCCAACTTCGTACCGACGGGGGGGGGGGCGGATGACCGCCCCCCCTGAGATCTCGAAAACGAAGCAAGATAGCGACAAGCGGTAAACGGCATCGGATACGCACGGTGAAGATCTACAATTTTTACAAAGGTCATTTTCAGGTCAGGTCAAAGATGACGTCACAGGGGTCGAAAAAGTCAAAATGGCGGCGCTGGATATGGAGAGAGTTTTTCTCGAATAACTTTCGAATTAGTCAAGATAGGAACAAACTAAGGGCAGCATCGTGATCCTCTCGTCAATCCGCATCGAATGATATATATGTTGACCTCGAAAGGTCAAGGTCAAAGGTTGACCTCAGGTCACGTGACCTCGAGGTCATCATATATATCATTCGATGCCTCTTGACGAGCTGAACACAATGAGACCATCCACGCGTCTGTATCTTGTTCCTGTACGGAGTTATTGGCCAAAAACCTTTGGTGACCTTTGATGACGTCACATGACCTCACAGCTGCCCAACAGCAAAACAGACCTCAAGGTAGTGAAGGTTGATCGTATATGAAGTCATGTATGGTATATGGGGCCATTCCGACCCGTTTTAGTGGTAAAAACAGGGAGTTGATTTTTCCCCCATTGACTTATAATGGGGAGGTCGCGAAATTGACCTGACCTTAGGTCACCGATATCAAAATTCCGAGATATACAAATTGTAGCTACTAATGACCTAATAACATCCTGCGACTTTCAAAGGCCTCCGACATCTACTGTAGCTCTGGCACGGTGACAAAGTTGCAAAAAAGTGACTTGAGGTTGGGTCATTCAAAGTGACCTGGTGACCTGACCTTGAAAGGTAGGAGGTTCAAACTTTCACACCATGTGTAAAATTGATGAGGGAATAGTCATACCAAATTTCGCGGCGCTACGCGCCGCGGTTTTCCCGCTATTCGCGAAAAACCTCAGGGGGGGGGGGGGCGGATATCCGCCCCCCCCGTCGGTGCGCGGGTTAAGATCGCGCGCCACTTCTTCGTAACTTGCTCCTGTATTCCGAAAACCAGAGGTCTAAAAATAGAGCGCTGTCTAGCTTTATCTTTGCGGACAAGTGCGTGCTTCAAAGGATTACAACGGAGGCTATCCTGTAAGCGTACACCCGTTCATACTAATCATAGCCCTGACTGAGCGTCCGGGGTCGCTATCTTCCGGCACGAGGATGATAAGAGCAGTGAACTGTGGCACTCAGGCACAAGAAAGGATTAAGGAGGCATGTGGCGGTATCGAATCTACTCATCAAGCCTACCGATCCAAATCCACTGACTCAACTGAAGCCGTCTAACTATTATCCTCTCTCCGCAGCTCATATCCAGCTCGGGCAGTCTGTTCTTCAGTCCCGGCCCCAAGAACCAGAAGCCCCTGAAGCAGCGTCTGGACTGTCCGGCCGGCTACTCCCAGCCGTACGAGCCCCCGACCTCTGTTCACCGGCTCCGGCCGGGGGACATCCGGGTGGTGGGCGCCATGGGCGACAGCCTGACCGCCGCCAACGGCGCCTTCTCGACCCTCATCATCGACGTGAAGCGCAACTACCGCGGCGTCTCGTGGAGCGGAGGTTAGTGCAGTCTGTTCCTTATGTAACTGTGTGTGTTTTGTGGTGTGCAGGTGCGGTGGTCGCACGGTGCACACTGTGCAGTGTGCATGCGCCCAGTGCGGTGTGGTGCGAGGGAAGGTAAAAACGGGCTGTGATGTTTGCTACAGGTGACAGGAAAGGTCAAACACGTGACGGTTTTTTGGTTCGTGATTATGCTTTGTTGTTTTGAAGTGCATGCCGTGAGTTTTGTGCACGTTATGGTGATCGTCCTTGTAGTAATGACCGTTGTGTTGCTGAACTTCTGTGCAACAGGCCCCGTACACAAAAACGTCTCGCCACAACACTTGCTTATTTATAGTTCTGCGATTGTGATTAGCCAAGAACCTAAAGCATACCTTTTTATATTCATCGCAGGAACAGAAATAATTAACTCTTCTTTAACCGGAAGGAAATCGTGTCCGTGCATACTTTTTGTCAGCCACCTGCGGTGTGGAACCTGTCTGGTAGTGCGATACACAACAGACATTAGCTCTATCGCTGCATAATCCGTGACAGGCTAGACTTTCAACCAGAGCGGGCTTTGCTGAATGATGATGACACTGCGTAATTGCAATCAGTTAGTGTTGTAGTGATATAAATAATGCGTCAGCCAAGACTTCCACGGCAAAGTTGGTGGTTTTTGTTTTGAGTAGCGTATATACCTACGTTTCAATAGCACACCCATTAAATAAGTCATGTTCACCATTCCTTCTCATCATCCCTACCTTTCTTTCCCTCTCTCATCTACCCTCTCTCCCTCTCTCTTTCTCCCCCCTCTCTCTCTCTCTCTCTCTCTCTCTCTCTCTCTCTCTCCAACCTCACTATGCCTGCAGGCAGGAAGCGACTGTGATGTCACGTTTGGATCGTGTCGCTTCACCGAGCGCCGATCACACATCTGGCAGACAAAGTCACGTAGTCATGGCATTATAACCTCTAGTGGCCAGCAACTAGACGATTTTTTGGCTATCTTTTCAGGGTGCTGCTGTTAAATGGTATAATTGGTCCATGCGATCACTGTAAGTTTTTTAACCCTCGCCCGCACATGCCATTTTCCCATCCTAGAACGCACATGGGGGGGGGGTTGCCCCCCCCCGCGCCATTTCGTTCCTGTTGGAGATAGAGCTTAGCGGTAAAGGCCAAAAAGATTCTTTGGGAAGAGGCGAATCCAATGATACCCAGTTTTACCTTCTCAGGTCAGTCATTGACCTTCCAGGTCAGGTCAAACTAAAAAATGTTGCTGTTTTGGGTTACCGTTGGATATCAAGTGCGCTGCTTATCATATACCGATGACGATGCTGTTTTCTGGTGCCAAGCCAGCTAGAACCTCTTTGTCACACTACCCGACCAGATTTTTGCTGCTGAGGTCATTTCAGTCAAGTTAGGTCAAGGTCAATTATATGTGTTTGTATGTCTGTGTGTGTCTGTGTGTATACTGATGTGTGCACCGATTGTTTTTGTGTCCATATTACATGAAATCATGATCTGAGAAGCTTTTACCAAAAATGCAGTCAAAAAACTTTACAAAAAGTAAATTCAGCTTGCCTAAAACGCAATTATTTTAGATGACCTAGGTTGACCTTGACCCTGACCCTGACACCCGTACATCGTCGAACAACATGTTCCATGATAGGTGGGAGGTAAGACTGGCAAAAAAGGCCGAAATCAAGGTGTCAACAGCTCACAAGGCCCATGGCAAACGCAAGATGTTGAGAATTGGCCATTTGGGTCATGACATGACATGAAAAACAAGGCCATATCTCCGAAAAAAAAAATCACAGAAACTTGAAATTTTCAGTGGACATCAAGAAAGGATAGAGAAGCAGCTATACGAAAAATCAGTCTTCTAGCTTCAAAAATGTTGAGTGCAGAGCAGAAAGACTACCTGGGGGTGCCCCCCCCCCCCATGTGCGGGCGAGGGTTAATTCCAGAAAATGAATATCGATGATAAATCTCATTATCTTAAAAATTCACCTTTTTAATGATTCATCTTCAATTCACCTGCAAAAAAAAGCGTTTCGATTATGATATTTTCCTGCTGGATATCAAAATAAAATACATCTGCCCCAAACCGATTCATTTCGCTTATGCGCAACATTTCATACCATTAAAAATTCCTACTTTTCTTGGAATCATCTATCTAGGCCCAAGTCGAAGACCATGCATGTGTATTGTATATTGCATATATTGAATATGCATTGCACACCTCTCTCATAACGTAAACAATCGTCATTTTTGGTATGAATTACCCATTTCATATGGCTCGAAACCGCCGCATAACTTGCTCCATGGATGCGCTGAATATCATCGTCATACACTTAACCTAGATCGGAGTTGAGAAGCCAGGTGATGCAGCTCAGCATTGCAAAGTAGCAGACGACAGATCAATCGACCTTGCCAAGGCATTGAATAAAAATGGCCTGAGCGTCTCTTTTGTCTGAGCGTACGCATACGCAACGAATATGCAAGTCTGATTCGTCTCGAAACGTGTTTTGGAACATATCGCGTGTTTATTTTAAAATGAAACGATAAAAAATAAGTTCTTAGTTTATCAAATTGAATAAAGTCGAAGCACCGCTCCTTGTTTTTTAAGCTCAACTGTTCACCAATAAGCGTTATTACTCTTCGATCTCACTTCGTGTTTGTTCTCCGGTCTCCCCAACAACTGAGAGGAAGAGAGTGAGATGGGCAGCAATAGCTCGCCGACCTTGTTCCAGTAGCGGCTGGCATACAAACTAGTGGTGTCAATCGGAACTTGAATCTTCGGAATTCCGATTTTGTCCAATGTCCAATTCGGAATTCGGTTGGACAATGGCAGCAGGCTTTGGACAACTTTGGACAATCGCTTGCTACACCTGAACATTTTCAAAAAAGTAATCGTGTTTAACATTGATTGGCTATTAGAAAGCTCAGCTTTCAATATGATTAACACTTTTGAGCTGGTAACGGTCATGAAAAGCAAATTAAATAACAGTGTTGAGTGTAAACTATTGCGTAGGTGTCGGACATCTTTGGACAAATGGCTGGCTTGGACATTTTTGGACGGGCAGTCGACGTAAGCATTGGATATTGGACGGACTTTGGACATACGTTTTCTGAAATTGACACCACTAATACAAACGCTGCCCACGTGTCAGACAAGTTCAACTTCTTCTCCATTCGACCGGATAATGGCCACCGATAGTCGTTTTTGCCGGCACCCTCAGACGATCACCAAGGCTGGTCGAGTGCCTACGCAGCCGGATGGCGTCGGAGAGGGGCGTGACAAAAACGACATGAATTCTTACACGCAATCTCATGTTACATAAACATGCAATCTCTATAAACTGTTAATCATATGCTAGTGATAATTGGTTAGTAGGTATACGGAGTATATTACTACATATACATCCAAATACTGGCACTGACTATGTGATCATAAAACCAGTTCTTGGTACAAGTCAGCGGAGAACGTTGTTTGAAAGCCCAACCTTTTCGATATCCTGCATATTTTTCATTGCTTACGTTTTCTCCGTCTTTGTCTCCTACTACTAGAAAAAGAACACAAGCAAGACGTTATTTACATTTCTCAGCTGTTGATTTAGCTACGTTATTTCGCTTCCTTGGTCTACCTGATTTAACCACCCTCCGTTCCGTATCGTTTTGACGTGTTCTGCGGGTATCGTGGCATCGTTCCGCTTCCCTTGTGGTCATTTCCCGGTTGGGTGCCCCGGCGTCCAATCATTCTTAGAAGTAGTGCGATCGTCCTTGCGCCACTGTGGAACGGCCATGTTACGAGGCGGAATAATGTCCGTCATTGTCAGAACTATTTCACCCGCCCACGGCTCCGCCCAGAGTCCACTGATACGCATAGATAATCCCATTACCGCAGCTATTTGGTGTAGTTGCCCTTGGAGAAGGGTTAGTGTTAGTTATATTTGGCAACCAGTTTATTACATGCATGCTACACCATGCATGTGATTAATAACTTTTGTTCCCAAAAAGTTTTGCTATATCGGTATGTTAAGTACTTCATACGTGAATCTGTAGCACATAAGCTCCCATATAAGCTCTTTACACGTTTAACCACACATGATTGGCTCGTTGTGATACCCTGCACGTGCTATAAACGTGTCACGCCTCAGGCCTGACCTGTGACGTCACCCAGTGCTGATGCCACTCTTCTATCCCGCAGGCGCGAACGGCCACTACCTCACGACGTTCACACTGCCGAACGTGCTGAAGCACTTCTCGCACCACCTAGTAGGTGGTTCAACGGGTTCGGGAGGCCCTGAGACGCCTCAGTCTCAGTTCAACGTAGCCAAGGCGGGAGCCCTGCATATGGCAATGCCTCGCCAGGCGCACGCTCTAGTCAACAGGATGCGTCGAGATCCGCGCATCGACTTCCAGAACGACTGGAAGGTGAGTGACATCATCTGGGTCATCTTTTACACTATCTTCGGATCCCTACTCGGAGCCCCAAATCCTGCACAATCACTGTAAAGACAAAGCGGCCTGACACCCGCCCCGATACGTGCCATGCAGTTCAACATCCCTCCACACCACCAGCGCTGGCCGTTCGTGCCGAGCTTCCTGCAAGTCACGCTGCGGTCAGTCAGTCGAGGTGGCAACCTTCACTAAATCAGCCAAATCCCCCATTAGGGCGGCGCGGGATTAGTCCACGCCCAAGCGGCGCCTGCGGTGGCTGGGGTACATGCTCTGACCGGGCCAATGCTCCTGATGTGACCACTGGCACGGTGGGTCAGTATAAACCCCAGTTCACCGCGTGGCACGGACGGCCGCGGCCTTGCATGCACAACGTCACGCCTAAGGCAAGGCCGTGGTGCAACCTATGACGTCGTGATCTGCATCCTTAGTGACCGTGACTGCGCCGTAACACTCGGTCGCTGACCATGCTGACATGGTATATGAGAGGTGTGTAGGTCCCGGACACCGCTCACTCAATTCTAACGCTTGTATGATGACCTGAAATGCTGGTATAGCATTTTCAGCCACATTTCTGCAGTTCACAGCTGACTGCTTTCTCTGGAGCCAGTTTCATACCCTCTGTGGCATGTCTGGTGAACTCTCGGGCACATGTAGGTGACGATGTTTCCTCTAAAAACACGACTTTTACTTGTAATTATCTGCACAGTGCACAGCAACACATGTCGCACAGAGCTAGGCCACCGATGTCGGCTGCTAACCTTCTCATTTACAACCTCTCAGACGAGGGAAAAAACGAAAAATGTCAGCGGCATTCTCCCACCCGCGGTCAGACACAATCTCCCTCTGTAGCACGCTATGTGGTCAACGGTCGCTGACACTGCCACGGGTCCCTGGCACAACTGGCTACCACCGGCAATCCGCAGCATGGCAGCAGGCACCGCCGGTCCACAACCAGTCGAATTTTTCGCCGATTGAGCCATAATGCAGTCGCTCACTTGCGACATGCTCCGTTGGGTACGGATGGTACAAAGGCCTTATCTGCATTCAGTTGACGGAGTTTGGTTGACAAAAACATTGCCGAGCTTTCGCCACTGCTGCAATGGATGTCAGCGATCTATTCGTGCGCTGGATTGCTGGGATGTTTGAGGTAGTGAGTGCGGAACTACCGGCGCGCTTTTCGGTTCATTCATTTTGACGTTCATAGGAGACCGCTAAATAGTGTAAATTCTTGTTGATCACAAGATTATCTGTTGTTATCACACACTCACTATAAGCTGAAGGCAGGTGTGAATGTCACACGATACCACCGGAATGCCTACACATGCTAACAAATCATGTTAATACCCAGCTAATACGGCTAAAGACTTGTAAATGACTTAGCCCAGCAGCAGCCATTCCACTCGCGCTTTTTCGCTACCTGTCTGATCCAGTCCGCTGCATCGCCTTCCTCCACCGCCCGTCGCCGAACGCCTACCGTCTACTGCCCGCCGCCCATCGCCTTACCGCCCACCGCCCCAGCGATCTCGCCGGCCGCCAACAGCGGCCCGGCGGAAGTGCGCGTCGTTTTGTGCGTGCGCCGTCCTCGCGAGGCCGCCGTCAAGGTCGCCACCACGGGGCCGTTGACTGGAGACGCACAGGTCACTGGAGAGAGATCAGCTGATCGCTCCGGCGCCGCTCAGATGCAGCTGGGAGGCTTGGAGAGAGGACGTTGAGCTTGAGAGAGAGAGAGCGAGAGAGAGAGAGAGAGAGAGAGAGGGAGGGAGAGAGAGGGAGGGAGAGAGAGTGCACTAGTGGAGAGGAGGGGCGAACTCATACCACCGCACGTTGTGTTGAAGTAATGAAGTTTGATTGATATCTGGGGCCGCTGGAAATTATTGGCTGTTTGTTTATGCGTTTGTTATTCACTTTCACTTAATCAACACGATATTGGGGAATAGGCTTATACGATCTCTTTTACACATCAAACTTATAGTACATCGACCACGAAAAGCCTAGCTTTTCTCTCACGCGTTTCTCAGTGCTAGGAATCTCTCTCTCTCTCTCTCTCTCTCTCTCTCTCTCTCTCTCTCTCTCTCTCTCTCTCTCTCTCTCTCTCTCTCTCTCTCTCTCTCTCTCTCTCTCTCTCTCTCTCTCTCTCTCTCTCTCTCTCTCTCTCTCTCTTTACAGCCAGGTTTCCTCCCATAACATCACCCATGTTCAGCGTAGCCGTGATGTTCGAAACCGATGAGGCTGACCGCCTGACATCCAATGCGTTCCATGACGCCCCACAGCACACTGACACACACGACTCCTGCGTGAAGACCATGCGCTTCGTGACACTTCACGAGACGGTGGGAACATCCTCCGCAAAGACCGCAACGTGAATTTGTGAGAGCCGCGTATCTTAGACTAAGCATGAAGATTCATGTTCGTCGCTTGTTAAGAAGGCTTATAAGGATCTTCTGTAGGTATCTATTGCTCCTTTTCCTTTACATGATGCACTTGGAATTTCAGTGAAGCGCTGCTGTTTTTCTCTGTCACGCACATATTTGCTTATCGTGATGTATCTGCTGCCCCTTTATCATGTTTATTTCCATAAAGTTAATTGAATATGATTTTGGTGTAATGAAGAAAAGTTCACTATTCCGTTCATGCATTCATCCATTCATCGTTCGTTCAATCACTGATTAATCATTCGTTCATTCATCTACCAATAATTGATTGATTTATTGCTTGGTTCATTCGTCATTCGTTCATTCATTCATTGATTATATCATTCATTCATTCATTCATTTATTCATTCATTCATTTATTCATTCATTCATTCATTCATTCAGATGGTGACGCTGATGATTGGCGGCAACAACTTGTGCAGCCACGTGTGTATGCGGAAGAACTTTTGGCCGCACTCGCCTCACGGGCACGCCACCTTCATCAAGGAGGCGCTGGACATCCTGCATGCCAACATGCCGAGGACGTTCATCAACCTCGTACCCGTCGTAGGTGAGTGAAAATGACGATGGGGTGAGTGAATCGTATGTATATCGTTTTGGTGGTAGTTAACTTAACCCGCGCATGACTGGGGGGGGGGGGGGCTCTACAGAGCCCCCCTCCCGTTTTTCGGCAATATCGTCTAAACCGTTTCACGGATCAACACGAAACTTGCAGTACCCTCAGCGGCATCAATTTGACACTTGTGTTATAATTTCAACTTTCTAGCTACCATAGCTTTGCCGGAAATGACGTCTGAGTGACGTCATGTCGGCCGATTTTGATGCAAAATATTGAATTACGGCAAACGCTCTCAAGAGCTTAGTTTTCAAGCTAGATCCAATTTATTTGCATCAGTGGACTAAAAATACACGTAACTATCAAACTACTATCTCGAATTTTCGAAATTTTGAAAATTTTGAAAACATATGTTTTTACAATTATAAACAATATTTTTTTTTGATTTTTTCAAAAAGTTTTTTTTTTGCAAAAATCGGAATATACATATGTGATAGAGCACACACTGATAAACTACTCTAGCAAGTTTTAGCCCAATATCTTCAAAAATAGCCAAGTTATTTGCATTATTGTCAAAATTTTACAACTATATATTTTTCAAAACCATTTTCCTGTACGTTTTTGACATCGTACAGCAATATAAATAACACCATCGTGTTCATGAGCTCAAACTGCATCTGATAGGCACCTTTTTTGTTGGAAAATTCCATTTTCAAAATTTGACCTTTTCTGACCTGAAATTGACCTGATCTCCGGTAAATTCAGCTGAAAATGACCTCAAATGACCCAGACGACATTATTTTCGAAATCTACGTGTAAAATTGACCATAAAACATGCGTCACGTGACCGATACATGATATACAATTTTCGTGACCTAGGATGACCTGACCTTGACCTGAAAAATTCGGAGTAAAAATTTGGTACCCTCAGGGTATCTAAGGCATATATCAAGGAGTGCGTAAACCAAAAATGAGCCTGATCAGACTTGTCAGTCGGCGGCCAGAGCCTAAATCGTAAACAAACAAAAATGCCGATTATTTTTACTTTGACCTGACCTGTGACGTCATCAGTGACCTCGAGGTCAATTAAAATAGGTTCCGCATGACAGTTTTTCCAGGGCTATCAGACGTCGTTTGAATTTTGCCTATCGGCCCAGTAGTTTCGGAGATAGGAGGGGGGCTCTGGAGAGCCCCCCCCCCCCGTCAGTCACTCGCGTTATGGAAAATACCCCAGTCATGCGCGAGTTAACACAAGGGGTGGAGACTTCCACTGGCGTCCAACTGGCGTCTAACTGAGCAGACGTCCAAGTTGGCGTCTAACTTGGCGTCTAACTGTTGGACGGAGACTTCCAAGCTAGACGCATCTAAAGTTAGCAGTCGCCAGGTGGACGCAACCGCCGTCCAGCTAGACGCGTCTAAGACTTAGACGCGTCTAGATGGACGCGAAATGGAAGTCTCCACCCATGATGTTTATTTGAATGTGTTGGGCCAGCAGTGATACGGAAATCGGGGAGACATTTTATTGTGAAGGAGGAGATGTTTTAGTTTGATGGGATATGAAAATAAATGATGACATGTTTGATTAACATATTTACCAATACGAGTATTTCCCTTGGCAAAAAATAGCAGTTTAATTATTTTGCTGTTATAAGTTTTTTTCCTTCAAAATACACCTGCATTAGGCCTATGTAGTTATGTGAAGAGTTCTTTAGCTCAGATGCACTTGTAAGTTGTAGACACTCAATACGTTGGCTAAGCGTTCCTACCACTTATCTGCGTCTCGGTATCTTGCAATACATCATTGCTATTGAATACTCATGTTCTTGAACATGGCTTACGTTAGGTATCACAATCTCCAGTTGGCCTTGACTCTGGTTGGTGGGGACATTTGCATGCAACAATATGCCTGTGTAATGCAATTGATTTTACAGCATACCTATATGGTGTTTTTAATTATTTCATAACATAGGTAAGTGCTACCGTTTGGTAGCCTACACACTGTATAGTCAAATTTGCAGCCTGGCACATCTCTGATCAAGCCTCAACGTTTAATAACTTGTTCTTTGCAACATCTTATCTGACAACCAGAATACAATGCATTTGTAAACAGATAAACGATACCGATGTTATCATACGGGATAGGCATTGCACCGTAGAACCATAACAGCAGTTACAATATACGAGTAAAATTACCAAAGTCATCAGAACTCGGCCATTATAAACCACAAACTCAAAACTAAAAGTAAACGAAACATATGCTTGGATGATATGTCGGAGAATGTTATCTTTACGTCAATCTCACGCTGAGGTTCACCAAGTATGTTCAGTCGTAACCTTGGCCATGTTTAATCGGCTTATTTGCGCAATCATGGACTGTCAGCGGCCTGTAGGACGGCTACCGTCCCGAGCCGAGGAGTTTATGGTCCTCCGGGATAAAAGAGAGGGCTGTAAAAGTAACCGGTGAACCGGTGTGAAGTAACTACTATAGACACGGGCCGCGTCACGTTTCATTTCATTCATAGTTAGAATGTTTTACGTTGGCAGAAACGCTACGTTTATGTGAAACAAAGCCATTGTGACTTCTGCGCACGCTGAGGCCCGTATTTATTCTTGTTTAGATTTACAGATGAATGTATTGACGACTATATCTTGCAACAAACACTCACCCTCGAGCCTACATGCATCCTCATCCATTTCAATTGACTAGCTGAGTCGTCTGCCTGGCAATACTGAAATCATGCAAATCCACAGGACCAGACTGAATAGCTGCTGCTAGTGCAAGCAAGGTCATATCACCCTGGTCTGTCTCATCACCGCAATGTTTTATGAGCTGTCTCTGATCTCTTCTATCTCCTATTTACAGACGTATCGGTGTTGATGGACGTGAAGGGAAAGAACCTGCCGTGCCAGATCGCCGACAATGTCCTCTGCCCGTGCCTGTTCGGCAAGAAGAGGCTCGGCAAGCGGGCGATGCGGCATATGGTCACCGGCTACCAGAACGCCGTCATACAGCTGGTATGTTCTGTGGTTAAATTATGCAATATTGTTTTGCAGATTTCTGTGTGCAGATCAAGGCAAACCGAAAGTAATAGAAAATTAAAATAGAATAAACAATGGTCGGATGCTCATTCATTCGAAGCGTTGCTAAAAAGCCGATGATATAGTGCAGTACAAAGCAAAAAAAAATCTTACGATTATAATCATTTTCACTGGTTTTACATTGGGCTTCATGAGGCAATCACATTGCTAAAGATTCATCCATTTTAGTTGTTATCTTTGAAATATGTGAGGAGCCGGCCTCGTGTCATGACAGGCTTGCAGATTACCACACAAACCAGACCTTTTATTAGTTAACGCGACAAAATGTTGTTACACAATCATTTACGACTATTGGATACCGATCATGTGGTTTATCGAAGCGCCCGAGATAAGTAACTACATCACTGACGCTAACCATTATGACATGCGGCCATTATCCAGGCATTTGTCTCGCCCCTAGAGAAGGTATAGTGGCCATGAACTCTCACAGTTCGGTCAGAGACCTTGTGTGCGTGCCTGGCACGGTTCTACGCCAGCTGTGTGTGCGTGTTTGGTGTTAGACGCACACAAAAACAACGACCGATGCCCGCTGGAAGCTGACCTTGAATGGATAGCTCTGTCTATGTGCACGACACTTGCGAATTATTTTAAACGGTCGTAAACGGTATGGTGTCGACCATTCCACAAGATTGACGATATGGCTTATGTGACAATTGGCTGCCTCCTATGTTATGAGAAATGGCAACTAGCTGCACATGGTGCATGTTCACAAGGACGTTGTAATATGAATTGGTTTCCAACAGCTCCCCGGGTGCACATTGTCTCTGGTTAGTATATCACATGTGCGAGATTTAGGTCGCTACATGTTCTCTCAAACTAAAGTCATACCAAAGTTTGATTTAGCGACCGATAGGTCCAGAGGGAAGCATCTCGCCTGCTGTAAATTCAGTAGCGCATTGCTATGTGCATCTGGTGACCTTGCAGAACCACGCACCGCTCAGCTTAGTGACGGTGATTTATTTCACTACCTTTTGACGATCGCATCACCTATACTCAGCCATTTTTCCAGCGTGAGCATCCCTTCAAGCGTCAGCGGCCCTTCATTTGCACCGGTCATTTCGCCCCCGGACAACCCCTAGGATCGTTCCGCTGCACCCCACTGCAAAAACTCGCCGGTCGGAAGCACCACCGGTCCTGTCCTTGACCTCGCTTGTCCTGTCACGTTGCACGTCCCTATTGAAGGCCAACCCGACAGCAGGGAAGTATCGAGCACAGAAGGGCAGTGACTGGGGAGGGGTGATGTCCTGTCGACCTCACCCTGACGAGCCTCAGACAGAAGCCTTAGGCGCCGCGGCAGTCGCGAGGCTCGACCTTGCCTTGGGAGGCGCCTCAGCGGGCCGCGCGGCCGTCGCTGCCAGGACTTTAGTCCGACCATCCGACCATAACTCAAGAGCCTAGAATGTGGGATTCGCCATGAACTTAGTCAGGAGACATAACACCCAACAGGCCGGAACTAGTCAACAGGACATCCTTGGCGTTGTCGTGATGTGAGATACGTATGCTAATTTGAACAGAGTTTTGATCACAAGATTACCTTGGCAGGGTCATTGAGGTGCAAATCCAAGCATGACTTGCACAATTGACCCTCCGTCTGGGACGTCTCACATCGGCATGAATAGCAAAGGTTATGCGCTTATTTTGCCCTTCACATGTGCAGCGGGTTCTGGTTTTAACCCTCGCCCGCACATGGGGGGGGGGGGAGTGGTTGCCACCCCCCCCAGGTAGTCTTTCGGCTATGCACTCAACATTTTTAGAGCTAGAAGGCTGATTTTTCGTATAACTGCTCCCTTTTCCTTTCTTGATGTCCACTGAAAGTTTCAAGTTTCTGTGATTTTTGGTTTCGGAGATATGACCTTGTTTTTCAGGTCATGTCATGACCCAAATGGCCAATTCTCAACATCTTGCGCAACATCTTGCGTTTGCCATGGGCCTTGTGAGCTTTGGACACCTTGATTTCGGCCTTTTTTGCATGTCTTGCCTTCCACATATCATGGAACATGTTGTTCGACGATGTACAGGTGTCAAGGTCATGGTCAAGATCAACCTAGGTCATCTAATATAATTGCGTTTTAGGCAAGCTGAATTTACTTTTTGTGAAGTTTTATGACTGCATTTTGGTAAAAGCTTCTCAGATCATGATTTCATGTAATATGGACACAAAAACAATCGGTGCACACATCAGTATACACACAGACACACACAGACATACAAACACATATAATTGACCTTGACCTAACTTGACCTGAAATGACCTCAGCAGCAAAAATCTGGTCGGGTAGTGTGCCAAAGAGGTTGTAGCTGGCTTGGCACCAGAAAACAGCATCGTCATCGGTATATGATAAGCAGCGCACTTGATATCCAACGGTGACCCAAAACAGCAACATTTTTTAGTTTGACCTGACCTGGAAGGTCAATGACTGACCTGAGAAGGTAAAACTGGGTATCATTGGATTTGTCTCTTCCCAGAGAATCTTTTTGGTCTTTACCGCTAAGCTCTATCTCCAACAGGAACGAAATGGCGCGGGGGTGGGGGGTGGCAACCCCCCCCCCCCCCATGTGCGTTCTAGGATGGGAAAATGGCATGTGCGGGCGAGGGTTAAGTGAGACTTGGCTTCAGACTGGACTAAACTTTTGAACGGATTAAGTTTAGGGCTATAGTCATTAGACTTTTCGCTGAAGCTTAGGCCAACTTGCATTAACACCGAAGCCTCTGAGCAAATTATTAACAACAATTGTTTTAACAACTGGCATCCATTTAGTAACTCTACTAGACCCTCAAAATTTCCAAGTGGTTTGAAACTTGCTGAACTGTCAGCCCCCTGCTAACTCCGTGCCCCCCACTGTTTTTCAGGTTGAATCGGGTCGCTACGACACCCGGGAAGACTTCACGGTGGTCATCCAGCCGTTCAACGTGGAGTCGAAGCTACCGATGGTGGGCAGCCAGTTCGGGATGCGAGCCGACCCGACCTTCATGTCGGCCGACTGCTTCCACCTCAGTCAGCGCGGACACTCACTCAGTAAGTTGCAGTGGGATCTCAGAGTCTTCGAGAACTCTGGTAAAGCCAGTGGGATCTTAGTGAGTCATCACGGCCAATGAGTGCGTCATTTGGTGGTATGTGTTTTGTTTATCTTAGATCGTCCTTAGATTTCTCAGCAACGTTGTCTGTCCCCAAACTATGTCAATCGTCAAAATCAATAACGATGACATTCTTGGACCGGGTGTCGTAAGCAATGGTTGTGGGGATAGAAAGGTCACCGTTCACTGACATATTTAGGCCAGAAAACTTAATTGCAGTATCGTGTTACAACACAGCTGTGTTCGCTAATCACTTTGATGATAAAGTTATAAAAAGGGCATTTTTGCGACAAGTCACAAGTAGCATGAATCCTGGCATCTCCTTTATCTGCAGCGTGCTGTAGTGCTAGGGTATATGTTATTATATTTTGCTGATGTATTTTTTTCTGTAATTAATTTCGCTTACAACACAAATATTAGTCTAGGAAATTCCTGGATTTCACAACCCCAGCTCCTATACAAAATACCCCTCGCGGTCGACCTCACAGGATTAGGGCAGGTTAATTGGAGAAAGGACACCACGAGAAGCCGGGTCTGGCGTGGTGACCGTGAATCGGGGAGCCGTTCAGGGGGCGTGGTCCGACCCTCCGCGTGCCGGCGCCGCTCCAAACATTGGTGGCGCAACACGGCACTACGTGAGGGCACTGCCTAATGGTACGGAGAGATGGGGACAGGCGATGGGGTGTGCACTGACGAACAGGTCATGGGGAACAATAGCACCCGGCGATGGTTTTGGGGAATAGAATTGGGAAGCGTAGGGCAGAAGTGAGAGATACTTCACTATGTATAGGGGTGAGTGATGGATAGTCTAAAGTAGGAGAGGCGATTGTTACGCCATGAGGAGTAATTAGAAGAAGCATGAACTTCTTTTCATTCGAGGTGAATTGTGAAGGCACAGTCAGGGTTAGCGTTGTAGTTGGTTTGACCCGTACGTCCACTTCTGAGCTGATGGATTGGCCACTGCTTACTTTACATAAGCTTATCTTCATGGCATTGCGCACACTCGCTTGAATACCAGCTGTCGGCAGCCCCGTCTTACTTACGCTGTTCTAAAACGAGGTGTATTTTCTTTCAACCCGCTCTTGTATTTTCCCATCAGACGTTTCGGTCTACTGACCTGCTCACAGCCACTCTACTCACGAGTCAGCCCGCTACCCTGAGCCCACCATCCTCCTCCCTTTGTTGCTCGCGCCGTCTGGCCGGCCAGCTGACGCCGGTGCGCCGCTTCACGTCTCGGTTCGCTCCGACGCGTCGTTCCACGCCGCATGGCCAGGTTCCAGTCTGAGGAACTGGTGAGCGGCGCAGGGGGGAGAGGGTTGGGCACAGACTGACCCGGTCGCCGGTCATGCTCTTGGCTACCGTTCCGGTTACGAGTCTGACACTTCTCATGATCTCATGACCATGACATTCCCTGGCGAGCGTGAGTAAATGAGTGACACGGTGCGTGCAACATGATGCAATGCAGAGACTGAATGGGTTAAATGCAGGGACATAATTATCATATCGGAACAAACTATTACGCTCACCTCATGGTCCGTCTGTTTGAAACAAAAGCTTGACTTTCAGCTAAGCGTTCGTTCAGTGAGAATCGACTGAATTCCTCCTTCCTCCAATTCCTATAGAGGACAGTCTCTGTTCCTGTGTGTTGCTCCAACAATGACTCAGCATAAAACCCGCCTAGTCCCAGCCCTGTACCGCTCCACACTTCACTCAACCCTAAGCAGCCTCATCCATCGGCCCCGGGCGGCGCTGTCTTCTTCCGGCACACTCGACCGCTGTTCCCATGTGGGAGGTGACATGGCACCCTGTGACACCCCGCAGTGCGCTGTCGTGACCTTGGGCCAGGTCGTGACGTCACAAGGTCACAGCCGGCGGCGGGTCAGCGCCACCCTCCCCCTCCCCTTCCCTCCCCCAAGCAGTCAGTCGTCGCCTGGCTGGTGTGAGGTCGGACACCGGTGCCCCGTTTATCGGGCAAGGCCGCCGAGCCGGCGAACCGAACAGTTCGCCAGTCTCATGGCTAGTCACAGATCACCTGGCTGACCAGGTGTGACATCTGTGTCAGGGGCCGCCGCACCGGCCGGAGGTCGCGGCACTGATTTTCGGACAGCGCGCGGTGGTGACACCAGCAGAGTTTGGGTAACTCGCCATGACCAGATGTTTTTCAGAACTGGGCCGCCCGTTCGGTCGGGGAATTTGAACCGCGACGGCTAACGACGCCACCGTGAGAGGCAGATTGTGGTGGCGATGGAGCTAAACTTCGTTTACGATTGAGTTAAACAAAAATGAGTCTTTGCTATTAGCTTCTTAGTACGCTGTAAAAGGATTATTGATTTTAGGCAGCTTTGAGACACATGGAAAATATTTGCACCACCGAAAAGGTTTGCAAGCTAAATTGAATATAATCACGGACCTGACATTGAAGGTCCGACTTCGACATTGGATTCAATTTATCGGTACTATATGAGATTTGGGTCCTCTATACTCTATAGTCTATGTAATGCGTTAGGCGGCACGGGCGGACATCGATAGCAGCGCCTCTATCGGTCACTAGGGAAAGCTGGGCTGTAGGCGACGAAATACCTACCGGCTGAGTTGTCACACGTTGAATAGGTTTATAGACATCCGTCTTGTGAAAAAGTTGAACTTTTACCTTCAATATTTCTACAGGCAATTTTAGAAGTGTCTTCACATGGATTACAAAACCGTTTAGATTATTGTATTCACTTCAAGCCTTCCCTATTGTTCTTGACGATGATGCGGGAACTATTTCTAATTAGTGTTTCTAGCTTAGTAAAAGGACATATTGTGCAAACGATGAAAAAAGCATAAATGGAAGATTTTAAATGCAATTTTCTCTAGCAATTAATGGTAAATTCTCTGCAGATCAAGGAAAAGGTGCATGCTAACTGAAATTTAAAGTTCTTGGGGTCAGATGTTTTCTTCTTTTCTTACGTCGCCCCAATGACCGCGAATACACTTGTGATAACGCCTATCGGTCAGATCCACTAGTGGCTCCCACAGCCGTTCATGATGTTGTCAAATGCTGCCGGGTTAGCCAGTCCCTAGACGCGTTTACATAGGGTTTGTTCCAAGCTTATATCTCCGTCCGTGATGTTGCAAAAGATGCCAATGGTGCTTAACAATTTACAAAATGATCCCCTCTAAATATTTGAAGACCACTGCAACGAATTTATCGCCAAATTAACGAGCTAGAGCCTCGTCAAATATGCTATGTAAACCGGGTTCCTGAGAGCTCGACTTCTGATCCCGACACGTAACACGGTGCTGGGGAGATGTTACCCGCGCTCCATTGCAGTTTTCACCAAGTTACAGGCGATGACAATCTAGCTTCCGATTTAAACCCTTTTTCTCATTGCTGGTACATCAGAGCTTTCTAACAAACAAGTACAAATAATCTAAAAAGCACACAATCAGTAAGCGATGAGATTCGCAAGCATAGAAAGTTTGTCAGCGGCGACAACTCCCGTCTGCCACAGCTGTGCAACAGTATTTTCTCCTTTGTTTGTTTGATCCGACGATTTCGGACCGAGTGGTGTGATAGCATATAGATGCAGCCCTATTCAGTGCGGGACCAACAACATTTTTGCGGTTTTACGGGCCGCTTATTACAGAAATGCAAGAGAGAGCCGGGTCATTTTGCCTCGCCTGGGACTAAATCATTACATGGACGATGGACATTGGCTCAAAACGGAGAAGGAGGGGCGAACATTCAGAAGTCACTCGCTCAGCTGCCGTTATAGACCTATGCTGTTTTGTTGGGTTAGGAGTCAGAACCTTTCGACAGCTATTTATATTCTGTATTCTGTATTCTGTATTCTGTATTTGCATTAACCGACTACAGGCCTTGCAGCCCATTTACAGTGGCAGTCAATTTAAACTAGGTAACACAACACAACACATGCACACAAAGATGACAACACATTACATGTACGTTCCCTGAGAACGAGCAAACTCACGGATGTCCGATAAAACAGAGCACGATGGTGCCAACATGTCAGCGGTGGGTGTATGTTGCAAGAAGCGGTTACATAGCACAGGGATACGGACAGTGAACCCTGACTTCACAGTGTTCACGCGACCGAACGGTACGTGGAACAGCCCTGTCTGTCGAGAGCGTCTGTTGGGGACTGCTAGTCCGAAGATTGCCATCAGGTAAGGGCAGTCAATCCTATTGCGATACACATTGACTAGAAATGAAAGATCGGTCTGTACAAAGCGGGACTTAATCGAGCACAAACCAAAGCGGTTCAGGAGACACACGTAATCAAGACTGGAGCCGTCTCCGTCGGAGTTTGATGCCAGCCACATCAAAAAAACGATGCTGCATTCGCTCGAGCCGCACAAGATGGGTCAGGGCCGTGAAATTAGCGAATAAGGAGAAATTATTTAGACCCGATCCCGCGTATACGCGTGGTCCAGGATGAGGTTGGATTGGGGAGGCTAGTAAAGAAAAAATGGCGTTGATGCTTACGATGGTACTGTCTGCAATAGTGGCGTCACCTACATATTTTATAGACCTGTGATCACTGCTCTGCTCCTCGCGACCGTACCGTTCGCAAAAGCGTGTGTACGGTGGCGCCATCTCACAAGGGTCCGCTCTCACATCGAACCTCGCCTCTCGCTCCTCTGTTTCAGTTCGTCACAAAACCTTTGCTACAAGCTCACTTACCCAAAGAAAAGTATATAACTTGGATGAGCATTTTAAATTAAATGATGCGATGTGCACATTTTCTGTCATGTCACTATCCGTTCCCTCACCCTTCGAAAAGAAGTCGATTTGACGCGTTATTATCCACCACCCTCGCAACCTCCGCTCACCAAGCATATTCTGTTTGTTTCAGTGGCGCAGGCGCTGTGGAACAATATGCTGGAGCCGGTGGGCCACAAGTCGTGGGACTGGCGGATAATGGGCGGCCTGCGCTGCCCGACCGACAGCAATCCGTTCTTCACCACACGAATGAACCCCGACGGTCGGCGGTGACAGGTGGCGCTAGTGTAGCTAGATGTCGCTACTGTCGGTGGTTGAGATCCAGAGTCAGAGGCAGTGAGCCGGACTGGAGATCGCAGGTCAGGAACAGAGCCACTGAACTTCATCAGGATCGCCGAGAATCTGACGATGGTCAATCCAGTGAGGAGTGAAGCGAATTAGCTCAGAAATACCTCGACTGCCAACCACCCACCTCCTCAAGGCGCGGAAGAGCTGCCAAGTGGAGCCTCAGCTCATCGAAAACCGCCGTCAGTCCAAATGTGATGCCACCGTTCCGTGCTTCTATCCTCAGGATACTGAAATCTTTCTCCTCCACGCCGCAACCCCCCTCCGGGCTGGACAGGCAACTTTATCTCATGCGGGCTGCTCCCTTGGAGCGGCACCGCTGCTCCCGAGGGAGCGCACCCCGTAGCCGGGTGCAGTGAGTGCCTTGGGGCTGGGTGGCCTGTCCTCTGGACGGGCTCAGCCCCGGCGACTCACTAGGGTGCCTGCCCAGACCAATGTCTCCCCCTATATCCTATCTTCCTCCCGGCTCTGAAATGGTCTTAATGGACCGAAAGGGCCTAACCCAACAAAACAAAACAAACAAACAAAAACAAATGTGATGCACTCGTGCCTTACTGCCTTCATAGCCGAATACTAAGACAGTGCTCAAAATGCGGTGGCATTGAGTAATGTGCAGTGTGCGTGCTGGTCTGAGCTTTGTCGCGACGAGTCATTTGCGCTTAGGGTGTCACGCGACAACGCTACGTACCGACGTGAACCACAATACGTGCCACGGATGAATGTGCGATACATCGCACGTGAAAGTCTGGAGTGACAGTCCGCAGCTCATCGAACCAGCGTGGTGTGTGGCAACTTCAGTACAAATCAACATCTGTACATAGTTTCGAAGCTGGATAAATTTATTGAGAAGAAAAGCTCGATTGCTCAATGGGGTTAAACGGGTAACTACGACCTATCGTGTGAGCATATCAGCACCGTATAGCTAGATTGTAATGCTATGGAGCTTAGTCAGGTCTAGAAAATGGGCAGTGATTTTTCATGCGAGTCATTTGTGGATAATTTATTCAGCATTTCCAAACCTAGGTGCATACAATTGCATAGTTAATTAGGTTCATTCGTGTTCCACACTTCCATGATGCATGATAAATAAATCGTTCGCGGAATTCGAAGACAGTTCAAAAACCATATCCTCATCACATGAGCGTTATGTGTGTGCTAACTGCAGCGCACGAACCAATTTTTGCAGTGTTATAAATTATTATTTAGGATAAATGATAGACCTAGAATTTCAATTGTCACTAAAATATTGTACAACGACGCATGCATTATCATCGGTATCAATGTATTATGCTCATGTTGTATTGTTTGCTGGTTGTACATATTCGTCTAATGGCAAATTATTATGTGCATTGTGTATCTCATTTTCGACTTCATTTCTGCTAATATTGTATTGTTCACATGGAGATAGTCTTCTCGCAATCATTCTTTCATCAATAAATGAAGAGCCGTTGCTTTCATTTTCCTATCGTAATATCGTCGTCAAAATCGAATCCTTGACTGCAGTTCATGCATATGTATATGAACTAAATGAACATTTTTTCGAACATAAAATGATGGTCAAGACTTCGAAGACATTATCCGCCACTTGTGTCTCCAAAGATGACGAAGAAGGCTTCTCAAAGAAGCTCCCAGTCCGACGGTTGTTCAATGTTCATAGAGTGAAGCGGTGCTAGACACCGCTGCTTTGCTGCAGTCTCAGTGCTATGCGGCACAGTATCTGGATAGCTTCCTAGGATGCGTTGCAGTCACCCCTTATAAGCTACAGGATCTTGATATTTTTGGCGCGCGGGGTCGCAAGTCATGCCTTCATATAGGATTCAACAAATAGTATATTTCACGGGCTAACTAACGGGTTAATAGACAAAATTGCCAACGCATTAACCCTATTAGTGGCAGGCTCCTGGCTACCCCAATTAGTGGCAGGGGGGGGGCTGTTTACGACCCCCCCCCCCTTGATATCTCGAGATCTAACGGGCCGATTTTCAAAATTCAAACGGCATTCGATTTCGCTCAACGTGATCTACATTTCTAAAAAAAATAAAATTTAAAAAATGTCAATAGGGGGGTAGAGGGGGGTAAAAACGGGCAAATTGCAGATACATTTTAGACTGTTTATCACGGCCAGGTTTCTGAACCAATCTTAACACAACTTTTGCCGATCGATAGAGAATGAACCAGGAATTCACATGGATCATAAAAATATGCATTTTCAAAAATCATAGGCGGATACAGATCATTGAGATTGGGGGTACACAAAAAGTATAGTAAATAAGGTTTTTGTTGGTACTGTTTCTAAAAAGGGTGGTAATGGTCTTGTTATGTTACAATTTTCTTATGAGAGAACGACTACAATTGTATTGGTCATGCATAGGCGGTGTCAGGGCACCTATGTTGGGAGGTAAAACATAACCCCCCTTTTTGGACGCCTGGATCCGCCTATTATAGCAAAAACGTGTCAAAAGAGGATGCACAATAACTTTGTATATGTTATCACATGATACCTTTCATTCACTGTTCGTAAAACTGGTGCATACAGTTATAATACATCAGCATCGTGATCTTCGCCCAAATGACTCGCTTCACGAATAGGACCCCCCAATTCCCAGTGCTCTGGAGCCGCCCCTGGTAAAGTTATGAACTTGAAATTTTCAAGGAATGTGCCCAATTTAGTTTTAGGAAAAGTCAGAAAATTTCAGCATCGTAGCTTCAGCGGTTTCGGAGATATTCCCGAAAAACCTGAGGGGTGGATGAAAACAACCCCCCCCCCCCCTGCCACTAATAGGGTTAAGTATCTTCTTGTGCATTTTCAGTTTATACGTACGGCCCTCCAGGTATTAAGTGATTGGTTGCCAACATCACAATAAGCAACCTGCATTGATGAATACGTCTAATGACTGTTGATAACCATTGCCGAAGTGTGTGCACGAACCCTCTTCTCATTTCTATTGAGTCATTTTACAGGAGTGTTTCTGTCATTCAAAGTTATTACACCAAAAGCACATAGGCTAACCAACCACTCTTGCTGGAGGGCCGTACTTGCATCAAATAAACTTACCCACAAGTGACTATCAACAAAAGCTACTAGTCATGTAAGTGATGTCGTATCGGAATCAAATCAATTTATCATTCCATTGTATTTATTCTAAATCTAACCTGCTGACATTTTCTGCTCTTCAGCACTACAGAAGTGTGTGCCCAAGATAAGGGCGATTGTCACAGCTGTGAAAGCGCCACACATCGGCACGAGACCGTGCCGCCAGCTGAGGTACTGTCGAGTGCTCCTCAATGGGGTGTCAGTTCAGCGTTCACACTCAGCCGCCCCGCGGGCAATGAAAAGGACGCACTGCACTGCCGAAAATGCCCACTTAAAATATTAACCAAGTCACGCATAAGGAGCGCTTTCAGTACACGGCCGCTAAACGCTCGCCTTTCAGCGTGGTGCGCCATGAAAAGCGCGCGGACAAAACGGCGCCAAAATATCCGGCCGGCGCACCTTTGTGCACCAGGATCGGCTCAAATCACCGCGCTGATCGGCTCAGGCCGCTGTGAAAACTTATTCCGGTTCGGGGAGGTAATCCGCCGGGCTGGGCTGAGCCCGCGGCGGCGGCCGGCTGGGACGGGCGGCTCGGTTCGGCGGCCGGCTGGGTCCGACCAGGTGTACCGCCAAAGGCCTGCCGATCGGCCGCTGCACCACAGATCACCGCGTCCGCGCCACAAATCGTCGCATCGCGACACTGACGGCAAGTCTGACACGACGCAGCCGGCTTGGCGGCGAATGGGCAGCATCCGTGGTGCGGAGAGAGAGACATAACAAAGCAGGACCTCAGATCGGCCGGGTCAGAGGAGCGGTCCAGGAATCGTGGTTACGATGGTGGGCGCCGCTACCGCTCAGAGTGGGGGCACGGCAGATGAGGGATGCGATAGGATCAGCCAGAAGAGCCGATAATCCCCTGTGTCGACGCCTCTGATAATGTCGGCTAACGCCCCGAGATAACTGGATCGGCCAGAAATCCCATCAAATGCAAATATTGATCTCAAGAGGGGATAAACCAGCTAGGCGATATGATTGAGGGCTAATGTGTTGGCTGATATGATGGTGGAGCAAAACGAAAGCATATGCCGATCATTTGGAGTAGAAAAACTCGAGTGTTATTCTCTCATATGAATAGAGTAAATTTAAGTAAGCTTCATTCGGCACTTCTGCAGCATATGTATATGTGAGACGTTACATGTTGGGGTCAGCTGCAAACAAATCAATGGAACTGGTAATGATTTCTAAATACCGCAAAGCGACGTTAAAACATATAAATTGTTCTAACTTCTATTTGCTTCAAAATGGTCAATTTTACCAAGTGTTAAAGAATGGACACTCGCAACTACTGTTTCCTCTGAGCTTACTTTTTTATCTCCTTTTGTTTCACCAGTATACATAAAAGATAAACAGTAGAAGCAGTATATTGTAAGTCATTGTTTTTAGCCGTGCGCTTTATGCGAACAATCCACAACACATACTACCTTATCTCGTCTACAGCATCAAAGGCCTAAACGCAACGAGGCTGATAACTTGGAAAGATAGGCTTCATTTTATCGACACGTAAATTGATCTGCCTCCGGAAATCCCCACATGTAATCTATACATTTTACAGCGAGCCTTTTACTGCCGACCCTCGCTACTTCCTCTATTCGCTGAAAAGCCATTTCGCTCAAATCACCGGACCAATCCTCCCGGCAGTTCGAAGCCTCTCCCTGCCCGGCTCCGCCGCAGCTGGTGTCTGAGGTGACCGACCACTCAGAGCTCCCGCTTCCGCCGCCGACACCGGAGCCCTCGCCGCCGCGCCGCCGCCCTGATTGAAAAACGATAAATCTGATAGATCCGAAGCCCGCCAACGGCGCTGGGCCGCTCGGCGACATTGCTGGTGATTCGGTCAACCCGTTCGGTCCGCCCCTGTGGCCGCTCAGGTCACGTGACCCGGCGGACGGCGCAGGGCCGACAGGACATCCTATTACTGAAAACACTCACTTTAACAACTTCTCCCAACACGGAACGCCACTAAATATCGGAGCAGCGCGTGCATTTGAATGGTTTCGGATGCGCCGTCGTTGGCCTAACACCGAAGCGCACGCGAACAGCGCGCTTTGGAAGCTGAAAGGCCTCGCTCAAATCCGGAGAGAGTCGTTCATTTGCGCTTCAA